CCACGCGCAACAGCTGAAAAGGTGTGTGTGTGTGGGGGGGGGGTCTATTTTTGCGCGCGGTACGCGCGAAGCATAGGTAGTTCATAAGGGGGCTCGTCCTTGTTGTCACGGCCGAACTACTGCAACATGAATAAACGTCTGGTTCGAAAACGAACACTGAAATAGTTCGCTCGTTTACACGACAGCTGCGAACTTTTGCGCGCTCGCGACAGGTTGGTAATTTCTACAGCCCGCCCGGCCAGCTCTTCAGCGAACACGCACTCGCGAACTCGGCACCTTTGGCTTGAAGGGATTTTACTCAACCTATATCGATATTGTTGCCATTTGGTGACTTCCGAAATAGCTCGCAGTCTGTTGCTGTTATTGTCGAGTCTGAAGTGCAAGAATTCTAAGATCCATCGAGATGTAGTTATCGCTATAACAACCATGCTTGTTGTTTCTCACAGTGTATATCTGTAGCCCTTGTCTGCCTTCCTTGTCGCCATCGCTCAGTCAATCCCAGGTTTCCATTGTGTCTGGTCGTCTTGTCGTCGGTCGGTTTGCCCGTGCGGTGCCTTCCGTCGCCCGTAGTCACTAGTACTGCCCTTCAGTCCGTTAGCACGCCTGTATCGTAGTCTCCACTTCACTGTTCCTGCTCCCCATTCCGCACGGCAGCTGCGCGGTCTCGGTGATGACGGACCAACAGCAGGAAATCCGGTCATCTTGAGGGTTATTGCGCGCTTGAATGGAGTCGATGCACAGTTGTTCGGCCTCTATGCTGGCGAAACTGCAATCGCTGCGGTAATGACGTCGTAAACCGTTCGGCTGGCGACCCGTTTGCAGCTCCGTCCGATGCAGCACCGGAGCGAAACAGTGCCCTCCCGCCAGCTTCGGACGAGAGGTCGCGGCAGCGGCGGCAGCGGCAGGCGAGCTGTCGCGGCAGCGACAGACGAGAGGTCGCGGCAGCGGCAGACCTGAGGTCGCGGCAGCGGCAGGCGAGAGGTCGCGGCAGCGGCAGGCGAGAGGTCGCGGCAGCGGCAGCCGAATGGCCACGGCTGCGGCAGGCGAGAGGTCGCGGCAGCGGTAGACGAGGGGTCGCAGCAGCGGCAGGCGAGAGGTCGCGGCAGCGCTTGGCGAGAGGTCGCGGCAACGATAGACGAATGGTCGCGGTAACGGCAGACACCACCGACAAAAACGTGTGACTTATTTGCGAAGGCAGAGCCGCCGGGATCTGGAGCTCACCGCGCACCGTGACGCTGTTTGCGTTTCTGATGTGATTGCCGCTTATGATCAAGGTGAGCCGTTTGCGGCCATGCTGCCGCGCAATGCGGCAGGCGAAAGCTCCGTTCCAGTGATCCACTGGAGCTGGGTATGTGAACTGCATGGGCCGCTGTCGCTGAACTCGGTATCACCCGGCACTGTTGGCTGCTGTGGGCAGCGTTCGATCGGGCTACTGACTGCTGCATTTTTAATTCTGAGTTAGCTGCGCAGACGGTAGATGCTTCAGTGCGTCCGTGAAACTCGCCATCCCTTGTGTGTCCGAACAGAACCTTCGACCCAAGCTTGATACATAAATAGGGCTTGAGCGGAGCTAGACTCCATTCGGTTGAATACAGTGATATGTTTCAGACATCGATGTTGATTTTTTCACGTTGCCTTGTGCGACTATACATTTAGGCGACATGGAGATGGAGTTTTTCGCATAATACTTCTTCAAATGTGATGTATCCAAGTGCGGAGACCGTTCTGTTAGAATGCTTTGGAGGGACAAGGTCATATTATGATCTGTTCACGACGGTGTTCAGCAACTGTCCGTATTAACCCATGAGTGGTAATTAATTCCACCTTTTTGACAAAACACCCCGCCAAAAAGTGTTTTTCGTTCGGTCCCTCATACAGGCGGAAACCATACAGTGTTTCTCTGTATTTGTTTTGAGAATTTCCCGGGGTTTGTATGCATAACAACCCATTTGGCTTCCATCATGCTATTGGTACATGATGCATGGAAATATACAACGAAAGCAGACATGATCCTTTTCAGCGCATGGGTGTTTTTTTATTTACAAGTACGCTAACAAGCCGGGATGATGAAACGTGCGTCACTTACAGTTTTTTTGAGCTGCTGTTAATTCACAAGGGTGCTCATGGGTGCATTTTAACTGCATATGTAGGCCTTTATATTATCTCATAGGCATGACACATGAACGTAACGCCAATGACGACCATATCATGCCCTTCACGTGAGTAATGGATTGCCAGCAACCGGAAGTACCGATGATTGGCAGCTTGACACCCTTCCATCACTTGACTCCCTGCAGCTCTCATTCACATGTTCGGTTCCAGGAACGATGAGGTAAACAACGCATCTATTCGATGAACTAGCCCGAAGATAAGTGCAACAGCCAATACCACTTAAGTAAAAATGGACAATATATGTTCGCTAAAGGCGTTATGAAACCTATGCCTTGCGTCTGTAAGTAGCATGTGTGGTGGGGGGGGGGGGGGGCGGCGAAAAGGGTTACCCTTTCTAGAGTGACCGGGATGTTCTGATACCAAAGCTTGTGTTTTTGGCCCCAAACAAATTTAGCACGTCTGAAATAAGTCACTTTACGCTATGCAATTGGTCGCAATTTTATAGCAGGTCCAGGCAGGGCGAAAGATGTGACAAAAAAGCCGATTATGTCAGGGGCGATGTACTTTCGAGTGTTGGAAGGAAACGGGCTTGTGAAAAAGTTTTCTGTTGTGCGTCGAACGCTGCGGCGCGCAACCAATTCACGTATCGTCATGATTGGTCTGCTGTCATGTGGCATCGGGTTTTTTTTTTGCCACGACAGATTCATGTACTTGATTTCTGCACTGTTAGCGGTAACCAAGTTTCAATGGGAAGTAGCATCCGGTAATATTTTTTATGACATCATCAAGTTGGGCAACATTAAGGCCAAAGACAGGGCGCGAAATTGGCAACGTTTCAGTTGTTTGTGCTTTGTGATGCATTAGGATGGAAAAATATTCGGATTTTGAAAGGAATGTCGAGGAGAAGTGCTCAGGAAAACATCATAAGGGACATGGCTAAAAATCCACCATTAGCCTAAATAGACGGCGAAATGACTGGTAATCCTTCCACTTTTCCGAATGAAGCCTTGCTTCTTTCGGGTGTTTCGTTGAACTTCGAGTGATGCTTCATTTGAAACTTCGGTCCTTAAACAATGTTTTAAACATCGAACTATGCGAAGTAATACGGCAAAAAGATGGTATCTTAGTAATGATATAATTGTATTGTATCAGGAGAACTCTATAGCAGGGGTGTTCGACAAGGATGCTAGTTTGTGGAACGGCTGACGGGAACTGTGGCTTAGCGGTCGTCCGGCCCGACAAGCCCTGGGTATTCAGTGCTGCGACGACAAAAGGTGGCACAATGCTTGTTTGGTTGCATTTGTCAACGTTTAGAGATCACCAGTTGCCAGCAGCAAGAAACACCAATATAGCCTGTGACGAAAGGTGTTGGTGACTTTAAACACTTAAACAGCATTAAATTACTCTAGATGCATCGTGATAACTGCCCTGGAACATGGCTCCGACGAACCGGCCATCCAGCTCTGGCACGACCCCACCCCCCGCCAAGTGTATTCAAGTAATCGGTGGAGAGCTGCAGCGCATCAGCCGCCTCAGGTCAGGTGTGACTTCACAACGGAATTGCAGTGCTATGAAAACGTAAATGTTGCATGTTGCGAAAGGTTGTCCAGACCTCAAGAGGCCGGCTTCGAAGCGGCAAGAGATGATCCCGATTTGGCTGCGAGAGGCTTGGCCGATCGGTGACATTGGCACAAATGTGCATCCCTGGGCACGGCACGGGACACGCGCACGAATGCGCGTCCTTGATCCGCCGGGTGTGGGCTTGTTAAGGGCGCAGCATTCGTTGGTTACCAGAGTAGTATGGACTTGAAGTTGCTTTATATACTTGCATGTTTACATATATATATATATATATATATATATATATATATATATATATATATATATATATCTATCTATCTGTATCTATCTATCTATTATATATAGATATAGTCTATCTATCTATCTATCTATCTATCTATCTATATCTATATCTATATATGTATATATACACCTATATAAATATATATGTATATATATATATATATATATATATATATATATATATATATATATATATTCATATCAGTTTTATATATGCAATCGGTGTAATTTTGGTATATATAGAAAACCATTTCATCAACAAATTACCTACCCAGTTCAGCTTCGTCTCACCTGGATGGTCAGCAGTAACTGATAGGAGGGCTGGCAATGCACCCAATTTTAAAATAACTAGTCTTGAATGGAACGTCTTTGTGCTAACAGTAACCTTCAGTTGACTTTGAAGTCACACAGGTGTTTGACATATGCTGACCTTCCTCCCCCCAAAACAACATTTGCTGGTAATATTTGGTGACAATTGCTGAAAGTGCAGATAAGTATGCTAACTTAGTCCAGAATATAGCGATGGAACCGTTGCTATACCACTGCACTATTTACGGCGGTGCCGACGCAGCGTGAGCTGTTCGTATCATTGCTACGTATGAATTATGGTGAAAAATTGATTTTGTTTGACTGTTTTATTTGCATGGCGACACTCATCTTTTTAATTGCCTCCCTTGTTTAGCGCCGAGCAGGGCGTCTTGGTTGGAAATACAAAGGCTAAAAAGTACAATTTTGTCCATGCTATGCGGGAACTTTGCTGAAATAGTCCACGCTGCCATAGCAAGTGCAGAGCTGCCAGCAAAGCAATGCACCGACAATAAATATGAATTGCTTACCGGCAATGATTATGAATTGCTTACCGGCAATGGTTATGAATTGCTTACCGACAATGATAATGAATTGCTTGCCGGCAATGATTATGAATTGCTTACATTTCTCGGGGTATTTTATTACGGGCGTAGTGGGAAATGTTGTTCCGTCGCAACTCTATGAAATAAGTCTGATCTTAGCATTCTGCATTGCAGGTGCCATTGTAAAGCAGTTTTCCGGAACTCAGCGGTCATCATACCAAGGTAAGATATTTATACGGCATTGGAGTGAACATTCCACGGCTCCTATTACATAGCAGCCGCGGCGAAATCCCTTCCACTGTAAATCTACAATACAATGAAAACAAAGTTTGGGT